TGGTTTTATATATTTATATATATTTTTTAAAGTATATTTGTCAGCATGTTAGAGACTGTAGCATTCTACAGGACAGGGTAATAAGGCTGAAGTGTACCATGGACTGTTAACTATAAATTTTTCTCTTTAGAATAGATGTGTACAGAAGGAGATATTGGGGACAAGAAAGAGGGGATAAATACAAGATAAGAGTTTTTCAGGCAGAGGAATCAACATTATACAGAAGTCCTATAGTGGAACAAATCGGCAAATATACAGGATTGAAAAAAGACTGTTGTGTTGCCTTGTGGATTGGAATAAAGCAAAGTAGGGAGAAGAACTGAGCTGATAGTTGTAATACCTGATAAATGAAGTACAACATAAAGTTATTTATTCTTTTTTTTTTTTTTTTTACATCAACAAGTACTTATTGAAAATCTAAAAGCCGTTACTCTATACTCCCTGAAGGGAAGGCAGCAGTGGTATCCCATTTTTCTTAAAATTTTTCACGTCTCTTTATTCCAGAAACACTCACAAAGCACCTAGTGTGTACACATATTGTTTTCCATAGTGGGAATAAATACAAAAGCATGAAAAAGTATGATATGTGGATCCCACTTATGTAAGGAACTCAGAGCAGAGACAAGAGTTGATGATAATACAGTATGATTAATAGTGCATTGGCCAAGAATTTGCCAAATTTGTAGTGACATAGTAAACCACTTTCCATGTAAAGAGAAGACTGCATAGGATACACTTGAGTCAATTGTTGAAGGGTTGTGGGATTTTTTCAGTAAAAAAGAAAGAGAAATTCTGATGAAGGCCATCTTATGTGCAAAGGGAGAACAATAATCTCTATCAGAACTAAGTTAACCTGCTCTGGCTGAAGTAGTGAGTGGTAGCCTCATGGATATGAACTGAAGGACAAGAAAGCAAAGCAAAATAAGCAGTCTCAACCATGTTTAGATGGGAGTCTCTTCATGCTAACTTTATCTTGAAGGAAATTAAAGGTTTGTATCTATCAAAGGCATGAAATCAGCAAATAATGAAGTAACACTGAGGCATATTCTGACAAAGTATATATAGGTTTTAAAGATAAAATTGTATGGTGATGACTTGAGGAATGGAGAGACATCCTTTTGATAAATTATAGCTGTATTTTTTGTTCCATGCAAAATGTTTTAATAGTTGAAATATTCACATTTCATTTGGCAGAAAAAGAATATTTGCATTTTTTCTGAGAGTATTGTTTATTTAAATAAATTATTACTTAAATGCATTTATTAATCTCCAAATTAGATTTGATTGTTAGTGTTCATTTCCATTAAGCAAATCACATGCCAAGGATTTTGCTTGAGATTACAAGACTCAGTGTGAAACTAAGAACTAAAATATGGATAATGTTATCCATATTAATTATGAATTATAAATACCCTCAGTGCCTTATGAGTTAATTATGTTTTAAAATATCAGAAATTGAAGGGATTAAATCTTATAATTAAAAATGTGTTAACTTTATATACACCAAGATTTCCCTACAATCAGACAGCCTAAACTTTGGAGGCACAAAAACAGCATCATGACTGAGTTCTAAATACTCTGATGAGAAAAGAAAAGACCCTTCCTACTTTCTCATTAAAAATTATGAAAAAGTATACCACTACAAAATACAGAGAAAAGTTGAAATAACAGCATACATTAGTTGCACAGGCAGTGGGAGGTTTATTCGGGACTTCACTGGTACATGCACTATACCACATCAGCAGAAATTTGAAAAAATATTTATAGGGTTTTATTTTTCAACTTTGTTTTTCTTTCTCTCCATTTTTTTCACCATGCTGACTACTTGTAACTCTACTAATATGGTACATAATTACTCTTTTTCACAAAGCATCTGTTCTCAAATACAAGCCATATTATGACTGTCACGGTGCTTATTTCAGGGAGCTCTGGATAATAATTTATGATCAAAGTGTTTATTGACCCTTAGAGACTTTCCTCTTGCATACTTACTACTGTGAGCTTTCTGACCAGATCTTAAATAGAATATGTCTGTGAGTCATATTATATTCATTGTATTGGAATTTACTTCTGTTTATTATCTTTATAGTTAGAAAGATAAAAAAGATGTTCATCCCTTTCCCAAATATATGTTTGTGTGTATATATATATGTATACATACTTTAATCTTTATTGCATGCTTTGAAATTATTTTTTCTCATTTTTAGTCACATGTTTCAATTGTGTCTAGGTTAGAATGCCATTTTTCTCTATTCTGAATTTTGGTTAAATTGTAATTTTTCTTCTTACCTTAATCTTTCATTTTTGTGATCTTAAAAAATATCAGATAATTTGAATACATTTGTTAGTGTACTTTGGTCATTTCTTCAATCAAAACTATGGAGGAATTTTCAAAACATTGCAAGCAAGGTTACAAGAACATATTTCTCAATTCATTCCTTCCTGCCTACCACAATGACCAGTGGCCCAGTGAGTTGGAAGAGTAGTGATCAGTTCCTACAGGTTCCAGAAATTTCCTGCCTTTTAAAAATGCAATCAGAGAAAATAGTTATTTCAATTGGATATCTGTTCCAAAGACAGGTTATCCTCTAACTGTATTAAGTTGAAGTCTCCAAATTTCAGGTTTGCTGCTACCCATTCAAAAGATTATTTGTACCCATAGCGCCCAGCTGTGGCCTTCCAATACCATTTCCCACTTAAAGGAACTGAGGTTCTTAGTGACCGTGGGTGATTACAGATCTGAGGCAAAAAAATAATAACAGCTTCAATTTATATAAAATACCATATTGTGCCAAAACCAAGAAACTTACTGACATCCTCTGAAGTCATAAGACACAAAAACTAACTTGATAGGGCCACCACTGATAAAAGATGGAGCTTTTAGGCCCTCCCTGGTGGCGCAGCAGGTTAAAGCACTGCACTGAGAAGCTAAAGCCACTTCAGCATGAGTTCGATTCCCACCTGCCCCGGAGGTGACCACATGGGGTGGCAGACCTCTCCTGACCCGCCCGCTGCTCCCCTCAGCAGTGTACTTCTTTAATCTGCCTGTTCTGCTCCCCGCTCTATCTCTGGTGAAGCCTTTCGCCACCCCTGAGCCTCTGGCCTGTACCCCAGTTCTGTATGTACAAATAAATAAATCTTTAAAAAAAAAAAAAGATGGAGCTTTTAAAATTAACATTTTATAAGATTATGTAAGTTTCAGGTGTGCAGCATTATAATATGGCATCTATGTGTGTTACATTATGTCACCACCAAAAGTTCCATCCACCCAATAATGTTGACCCCTTTTACATGATTCACTCTTTCCCCTTCTCCTTTGGAGAAATTTTATTAAAAATTTTATTAAAAACTTTAAAACTTAAATCTTTATTTTGTAAAGATACTAACTTGATTCAAATATGCAAAAGTGAAGAGAAAGAAGAATTGCTGGGTACCTTTTATACAGCATCAAAATTTATCAATTTCTGGCCTATATTATTATTTCAGTGCCAGTTCTGCCTATGCCTTTCCACCAAAGGATTTTTTTTTTCAAGTAAATACCCATTAGCATATCATTTAATATGCAGATATGTCAATATAAATTACTAAAATAAAATGGCTGTTTTAAGAGCAATCATGCTATAATTTCAGAGGTACAGATTGAACATCAAGAAGAAATTCAATGGTAAGTTGAGCCACATCAAATATATCCAAGTGAAAAAACTTACTAAAAATGTATTGTGGCTCATCTTCTGAAATAGGACATTAGCTTAGTATTCTAAAATTTGTTCAATAAAAGGAGAAGGATGAAGGGATTATCCTATCTTTCCTATATACATAGCAGGATAGTTAAACAAATTGATAAAATTTCTTTATAGAATGCTAATAAATAAATATAGAAGGGATGCTTTTGAAAAGGATGTTTGAAGCCTCTATTGAAAGAATTTACACAAAGATTATACTGAGATGCTAAACGATCAAGGGAGGGAGTGATAAGGAGATTCATAAAGGATAGATCAGCCACCTTCATCCAGGGGCGCAAGTCACTTTCAATGGTACCAAAAGTGGGACATGTAAATGTTAAAAACTTCCAAATGTGATACAATTAAAAAACACATCAACACCCAGAATATATTTTTGCCCTAAACTGAGGGTAAGAAAAACAGAAGTAGAGTCTACCCAAGCTCCAGATAACTGGACAGTACTATGCTAAGAGTAGGGGAAGGTGGAACTTAAAGTCCTCTAAAAGAGCCTTAAGAGAAATACCAACCCAGTAAAGTGTCAACCTTGTCAGTCCAAATAAGTGAGCCTAATTGTATTTGGGGCAATAGCAGAACATGAATATGGCCTGAGCACAGAGGAAGCTACTAAAAAAATAGTTGTTAATTTGTTAGCTATGATATTTTGGTTGTATTAAAATATATTTGATAAAGATACATAACAAAGTACTTAGAGGTGAGAGATGATAGTTTATCTAAGACTTGCTTCAGAACATTGCTTGTCAGTATGTGACCACCAGTATTAACCTCACCTAAGAGCTTGTAAGAAATACAGAAACTCAGTTCCAGATGCAGAACCACTTTTGAATGAGACTCTATAGTTGTATTTATGCTCATCGAGATTTGAGAAAGCACACCTTTAAAAAATTAGGGGTGAGGGGTAGTGTAGGTGGGGCATAAGAGAAACATGGTTAGCAGATATTATTTCTGTAACTGGAGATTTTGGGGTATATGGGATTAAGCATGGGAATTTTATTGGTTTTAAGTCAAATATTCCTAAATCAGGAACTGGTACAGTGTGATTGTGCCAATGTGTATATATCCAATGACTTGTTTTTAATATAAGGTACTAGTAAGTGTTGAGATAAATATTACCTCATTACTTCCCCTTTTCCCCTTCTTCCCTGAATGCATATTTCTTTTCAAATTGTTCCCTACTAAATCAAATTGTTCTTTTATAATTTATAAAGAAAACTTCTTTTAAACTGCCAGCACCAATTTGTTATCAATTCCACTCTCTAGGCTCGCTTAAAAAAACCTCTTAGGAGCCTGGATGGTGTTGTGTATGACGACGATGATGACAATGACATTGAAAGAGCAAGCAAGTGAGTAATGAATTTTGGTTGTTTAATCGTATTAAACAATGTGGCTTAATAGTAGAACGTTTGGGTTACAAAAACTATTTAAAAGAATGTGCACTCTCAGAAACAGATTTTGTTCCTTTGATTCACAAAAGCAAGTGCTCACTGGAGTTTCATAGAGGATTATAGTACTTTGGGAAAGCAAATCAAACCTGAAATAGTTCAGAAATATCTGGAATAATGTTAAAGTTAGATGCCTACCCTCCTACTAGAGAGGGACAGATTCAATATCAGGAACAGTGACAGTATTTAATTCAAATCAAATTAGCAGTCAGGGAGATGGGGGAGGAGCTTGAGCTAATAGTGGTATCAGAAAATTTTAATACAAAGTTAAAAAAATTGTAAAGTGCAATAAATGGAATAATATTATACATTTAACTTTTCAGCCGTTTTATGACAAGGTGGACATTCTTTTTTCTCTGTTAATTATATTTTGGTCTATATAAAATAAAAGAGTATGCATTATTCTTTAAAATAAATGAATAGGTAAAAGGAAAAACATCTAAAAATACTGAACTTGAGCTATAGCAAACTTTTTTTTATATTAATATAATAATTTTTACATTTTGTGCCTTTTCCCATCTCAGTTGTAGCAAATTTTTTAAGTATTTAATCTTTCTTTTAAGCCTAATTTCCCCAAATCCCACAGCTTCTGACTCTGAAAAGCTCTGCTGCTGCTGCTTCATTAATTACATACCATAAGCAGTTTTGTTTGGTCTTAATGCATATATTATGGATTTACTGTATTTGTGACAGTATATATCACTATAAAGAATTTATCCATGAACCAATTATCAATTTTGCCATTGTTCCACTGAAATATTATTTTGTTTTTAAGATTTTTATTAATTATCTGCAAGTAGTGATAGGTTGCTTGTATGCAGCATGTATGGCTATATAACTACTATTTTTCTTCAGGTTATCTTCTGAAGATGGCGAAGAAACTTCTGCTTATTTTTATGAAAGTGATGACTCTATTGAAACAAGAGTAAAGACGCCTTACTCAGGTGAAATGGACTTATTAGGAGAGATCCTTGATACATTGAGCACACACAGCTCAGATCAAGGAAAGCTGGCAGCAGCAAAGAGCTTGGATTTCTTTAGATCGATGGATGATATTGATTACAAGGCTGAGGTTAGTTGATTTTTTTTATCTTGTAAGATTAAATGAAAATATTTAATGGAATGAGGGCATTCTTACTTTTGCTATAATTGCCTGCTCTTACAATCTTAGTTGTTAAGGTATTTGATAATTATCAGAATTTCAAAGTGATAAATCTTAATCCTTGAGAATTATACCTAGTAACAGAATTCCAGTGTTTTCCCCTTTTTTTTACTCAGTTTTAGTGGGTTTTGGGAACATTTGAAATTCTTTTGATATATTTTCTTGTTATATTTTATAGATGTCTTTTCTAGAGAGTTTTTTAAAATTGATATATTTTAATATTTTTCCTATAATTTCTGGATTTAAAAAAATTAATAAATGTGTTGAAGTAGTTTTTCCATTTTATTCCTTAACAAAAGAATAGTGCTTAAACATTTGGAACTAAATCTTTTAAATATGTGAGAGATTGAAATTTTAAAATTGTTTTTTGCTTTTTAAAAAAAATCATCTTTAAGTTTTAGTGACATGTAGATGACAAAATTTGTCAGTTGCATATAATTAAGGGGCACAACTTGATGCTTTCATATACCTATATATTGTGAGATGGTTACCACAGTCAGTCTAATTTATATACTTATTACCACAGTTACCATTTTCTTTACCTTTTTTTTTCTTTTTTGGTTAAGGTGAAAGTATTTAGTGTACAATACAGAATTATTAAGTGTATCACCTTTCTGTATATCAGATTTCCAAAATGTATTAATTATTACATAGCTGAAACTCTGTACCCATTAACCAACATTTCCCTACTTCCTCTCTCCAACTCTCCCTTTCCCCAGGCTGCCAATAACAATCATTCTGCTTCTGTTTTTATGAATCCATTTAAGATTCTACATTTAATTGAGATTATGTGGTGTTTGTCTACCTGTATCTGTTTTCTTTCAGGTATTAGTTCATCCAATTTGTCACAAATATCAGCACTTACTTTTTACTGCTAAATAATATTCTATTATATATCTATTTAGCACATCTTTATCCAGTCATTCATCAGTGTATTCTTAGGCTCCCTGCATTTTTTGACTATTGCAAATAATGCTGCAGTGAACATGAAGGTGCAGCCATGTATTAATGGTACTGATTTCATATCCTTTGGTTATATACATAGAAGTAGGATAGGTGGATCAGGTGATAGTTCTGTTGTTATTTTTTTTTTTAGGAGTTGGCTTCTGTAGTGGCTGCACGAGTTGACAATTAACATTCCCTTTTTTTTTTTTTTGAAGATTTATTTATGTATGCATACAGAATTGGGGTACAGGTGCAGGGGCAGTGAGAGGATTCACCAGAGACAGAGTGGGGAGCAGAGAGGCCGACTGACAAAGTACACTGATGAGGGGAGCAGCAGGTGGGTCAGGAGAGGTCTGCTGCACTATGTGGATCACCTCTGGGGTGGGATCGAACTCATGCTGAAGTAGCTTTAGCTTCTTATTGCTGTGCTTTAACCCGCTGCGCCACCAGGGAGGGCCCAACATTCCCTTTAACAGTGTGCCAGAATCACATTTCTCCACACCCTTATTAACACTCTCAATATGGTATGAGTTCTATAGGTGATAATTATAAGGTCATGGAATCCAGCGTCCATCTCATCTCATTTCATTTTTGATAACAGAGCCAAATTTGCAAGTGTTCATATTAACTAGTAATTTTGTATTTCAACTCTGGGAGGAACCTCAATTTCCCAGCCTTGAAAGATACTAGGTAGTGGCCTCTCTGGTGGTCCAAAGGGTTAAGTCTCAGTACTGTCAAGCTATCCACAGACATAACAGCATGAGTTCAATCCCCAGCCAAAAGGAGGTGACCCACATGACACAGCAGACTTCCCCTGTCTTATCTGTGCTCCCCTCAGTAGTGTATTTCAGTCAGTCTGCCTGTTTTTGTTCCCCACTCTGTCTCTAGTGAATCCTATCACCCCTGACACCTCTATCCTATACCCCAGTTCTTTTTTATACCCCAATTCTTATATGCATAAATAAATAAATGTTTTTTAAAAGAAATATTAATACTAATTTTTAAATATAAAATTATGTTACTTAAGTTATGCTCTAGTTTTATTAAAATATTTCTGCATTTGGTGTTTTTTTTTTTTTTTTTTTTTTTTTTCAGAATAAATCCAATGCTCCTAGTGAGAATAATCTAGCCCTACTTTGCACTGGTTCTGGTGATCAAACAGAGTGGCATCTCGGGCAAGATGATAGTGCTTTGCACGGCAGACATCTCCCTCCATCTCCCAGGAAGCGGGTTTCCTCTGGTGGTTTGGCAGATTCCCTGTTTATGCTGAAAGAGGAAACCAGTGAAAAATGCCTCAGTGCTCACAATGTGAGCAGCCCTACGATGGTAGGACAGCCAGCTTCCACTTCAGGAGTGGATTTCCTGGAGCTGGCTTTACCTGAAGTTTCCCAAGTTGATAAAGGAAAGACAGAACAAAAGGAAACACTAAGCCAGATTTCAGATGACCTGCGTACACCCAGTCTTGGACAACGTTCATCTACTTTTGTTCCCTGGGAGAAAGAAGGACAAGGAGCCACAGAGACTTCAGAAGATGTTGGACTGCTTCATGAAGTAGTGTCATTATGTCATTTTACACCTTCCTTCCAACAGGACTTAAACGTTTCTGAAGAAAACAGTGGTGGAAAGCAAGCTTAAGTCAACAATTAGGAGTTGCTTGCACAGCTGCCACGAAGACCTCGTATTCCACATAATCCATATAGGAAGCAGATTTCTTTGTAGGAATGCAACTCCTGCTACTGTTTCAACAGTTACTCTTCACTTGGAACGTACATTTCTCCCACTCATTCATCTTGTGGACATACTATACACTGATTTTTAAATGTAAAGCTCACTCTTCTACTATGCTCTGAAATCAGGTACTAGTTAGTATGTATGATGAAAATAACTATTGAACATATGATTTCCCAGTATTTGGTGCTTGATGCCATTCATTTTACTTAAACTATGCATATGAAAACCTTTACAGTACAAGTAGCTACTATATTAACCTGGTTAAGCATGAAATGAAGCAGATATCAAAGCTCGTCAGAACTAGCCTAAAACTGCGGAAACTGTTGACCCACTAATTGCCTTAATCTTAAGCCTATAATAAGCATAATTAATTTATGGAATTACATGTAAATTTGAAAGATAACTTATAAGGGTTCTGTAAAGCAATAATGCTTTTTTTATTCATTGAAGTAAGGACAGAATTCTTTTTTTTTTTTCAAAGTTAAAAAGCTCTTTTGTGGACACTGCAGCCATGTTTTCCAAGAAGTATAAAGGTACAAATTTACTGTTCACTCAGTGAAATATATGAAGTGCTGAATTACAATGTGAAGTGAATGACTTTCGTTTACAAGTGACACTTTAAGCATTTTACAGTCTCTACACGTATGCCTTTGCCATAAAGGAATCCACCCCAGTAAACCAAATGCAACTGAAACTATCTTGTTAAAAAAAAGTTCCTCTCTTTTTTTCCTAATTCTCTATCAAAACATATCATTTTAAATTTACTTTAAATTTAACTAGTTAACTTGCTGTTTTATCACTTGCAGATTCATTGAAAAATTATGGAGAATGTATAGTTTCCATAGATTCCTGCAACACAAATTTCTCCTATTATTATCTTATATTTAGTATGGTAGATTCAGCATGATTAATGAACCAATATTGATCGGCCATACTTTATTCAGATTCTCTTAACTTTTCCCTGCTGTGCTGTTTCTGCCCCACAATACCGCTCAGGACACCATTACATTTGTCTTGTTTCTTTAGGTCCCTCTGGATTATGAACTTTTTCATACTTGTTTTTGATGACCTTGATATTGTGAAACATGCTATTTGGTTGTATTATAGACTACCCATCTATTGAAGTTTGGTATTTTTCTCATAATTACCCTGGGATTATGAGCTTGGGAAAGGGAGGTTATAGAAGAAAAGTGTCCTTTTCATCACATCATGTCAAAGGTGCATACAATCAATGCCATGTGTGCGATGTGTGTATTGATATTGACTTTGATAACCTAATTGAGGTGGTGGTGATCAAGTTGCCCACTATACAGTTACTCTTTTCTCTTCCTTTTCATATTGTAGTCTCTGGATGGAACTCACTATGTACAGCCCATATCAAGGAATAGGGGCTTGTATTTCTTTTTTTGTAGCAGAGTATCTGTAAATTATTTAGAATTTTTCTGCATGGGAGATTTGTCTCTTTCTCCCACACATTCATCGTTAAGCTCTGAAATTCAGCTGGAAAGGAATCAATCTTTGATTGCTTCATGGTAGGCTAGACTGACAGGTGTGCGAAGAAAAAAAGACATTATGTTTAATTTTCTATTAGCATGTTCTATATGTGTACTTTATATATCCCAATAATGATTATTTTCAACAATCCTAAAAGGAGTTTTATAAAAACATTACTTAAGTAATATTTACTCAAGTCAGTCTTAAAGAAAAATTACTTAAGATTTTGTTTTGTTTCCCAAAAATGCATTCTAAAATCTAAGTAGGTATATTTTATTTGAAAAGGGCAAATAATGTTTTGCTTATAATGACATACTATATATATTAAGGGAAAAAGTATTTAATCCTTATTTTTTAACACAAGTAAAACTCAAGGTTCTTGTCAAATTTTGCTTCTCACTATTCATTGTAAAATTCCATTTACTTAGTTGAAGTATATAATACAAGAAGTACATGTATTAGAAAGCCTGTTTTAAATGAAAAGGAAAAATGGTCACTCTGCTTGGCAAGGATTCCTTTGTAAGTTTTGAAAAGAATGTAAGGTAGCCTTTGAAAGTGATTATTAAAATTTTTGTTTTGTTTTGTGGGGGTTGCATCAGAATTTGTAGTATAAAGAATGAAATGTGACTGTAGCATAGGCAAAATTTAGGGTTTAGTCCATTATTTAGTAAACAGTCTCAGAAATATAAATCCTTTTTCTCTGTGTTAGTCATCTCAAAAGATATTTCACTACTATGTTTTGGAGAAATTTAGCCACTCACAATTTATGTCAGTGTATTTTAAAAGTCAATCTGTGCCTTATTTTAACGTACAAAATCAGTTTTTTATATTCCATGTTAAAAACAAAAGCAAATACAAAAAGTCTATGTGTTTTTCTTGGAAGATATCCAAAAGACTAGCAGCAAATACTGGAAATTTAAAACCATTAATATTTTGACTATTCAAATTCTGTTCTTAAAGACCTCCCAGTATTACTGTGGACATAGGGAGACTAAAGTAAAAATAAGGTGAGTTCTGATATAAGGGTATTGTTTTCTACTATGTTTATATTTTCTATCATATATACACCAAATATGTGTAAATCCCTTGCTGTCTAAACTCCCCCCCACCTCCATCCACAACACCTGTTCTGCAACAGAATTGTCTAAATCACTAAGACTTGGCTCTGGCACATAGTCTTTTATGTGGCCTCCAGACTGTTAGAACTCTCTATGAAGCTACTCTGGTTTTTGTCCTTTTGCCTGGATATTACATCCACAGCATTTCAGGGGAATAGAAGAGGAGAGTATGAAATTAGGAGCTATTATTTTTGGTGGTAGTCTTAAGTTGTATATTTTGACGATTATTTACTTCCATGTATTTTAGAAGGCATGGCTGTTTTTCTGATTAAAAGTTAATAACCCACCCATTTAAAAATAACTTACTGATTCTTTATACTGGTCATATGTAAGGTACGGTAACAGGGTGTTGGGTAATAAAATAATTGGCATTGTCTCTCCTCTGTAGGAACCAACTAAAAGAAAATTTAATTTAAATCTTTGTTGTTAATAACAACAATAGTAATTAATAATAACAACAACAATAATAATATATTTTCTTAAAAATTGTGAGTCTAAGATTCTAACACCAAAAAAAAGTTTTAAAAGCTGCTTAATCTAAAAATGCTGTAAGTATAGAACCATAGTACTATTAATAATTTCATAACCTTATTATTGTAATAACTAGAATGAAGCTGCTATCAAGATACCTACTTTAAATTAAAGACAGGTTCAGAAACTCTTAAAAGCTAAGTGTTTTTTTCATCTGATTTCCCTCTCCCCACTGTGCTCAGTCATATAAGCAGGCAGCAAAGGGCTCTTACTGATGGAATGTTGCTCCTTTGCAATACATAGGCCACTTTCCTCAGTTAAGGATTAGGTGAAGGTGTGGATGCCTGTGATGGAAATTCAATTGTACTGTGTTTTCTTGATACCAGCATTCTGTAGAAACAGTTCTTTCCCCTGCCCCTTTAAAATTAAATTGCATGTGACGGCACTGTTGTTAGGAGTCTATACTAATGTCCTAATAATGGGATCCAGGAATGTTAATGAATTAGTTGTTTCTTAATTAAGGTGACGCAGACTGCTGAACAAGAGGAAAAACTCTGTGATTGTTATACGCCTCCATTCTCCTCTAAAAAATCAGAATTTCTAGGAAAATATTTTCATTAATTTTCTAATTTGAATTTAATTTTGTTTAGCATAAAAGACCCTAATTATAAGTTGATATTTGTAAATCAGAATATAAATTTAAGGTTGTTAAATGAATATCCCGTTCTTTTGTCCCCAAATCACTTCTGAATATAGGAAATAGCTTCTATGAACTTTGTCAAACATTGTTCATGTCTGTTCCTTAAAGCTTATTTAAGATGCAGAGTTATTTTAAGAAACCATAAACATTTTGATTTGGTCAAGATAGTGAATTTTGTGCATATAGAAAGAAGTATATTTAATTGAATATGATTTTGTGCAATATTCTTTCGTGAATAATTTAGTTCATATAAATAAATGCACATCTGCCTTCCTAGCAGATGCCTTAAGGTCATGTTTTTCAGTATTTGTAAATCTGTATGTAGCAATGTTCTGTGTGATTTTTAGATAAAAATATTCTTCCTATTGTTGGCAGGATCAATGTTTTTGTTTATTTAAAATAATTATGGATATTGCATTATTGTATCATACCTGCCTCAGCAACAATAAATATGCAATAAGAAAACCTGAACCTTAGGGTAGTATTGACAGTACTTTAAATGTCACTTTAAATGTATATAGTGCAAAATGCTGATTCTTCATGTGTACATTTAACTAATACTCAGTTCTGTATCACATCTATCAAACTGGCATTTGTATGGTTATGACCACATGTGTGAGTTGTAATATTCTTTGTGATGAATCTTTGCTAGGATTTATAAAGGGCATTGCCAATACTTTTTGACTGTAAATTAAGTTAATTTTTATATAATGTACAGTTTGTTTAACCTTAGAGCTTCTATAGATTTCTACTTTTATTATACTTGAATGAGGCAGAAAAGCACTGTGGAAAATCTGTAGCTCTGGATGCATTATACAGACATACCAAAAATAAACAAATAAATAAAACAAGGTATTGAACAGCAATGTAAGTTGGATGCTTTCTATCCAGAAAGCTGTGCTTTTTTTTCCAAACCGTACTTAAGTGAAGTAATTTAAACTATAGAATCTTTTATCTTAAAAGGTTGCAATCACAAGTGATTACCTCTTTGAAAGGATAAACCTCTGAGTTTATTGTCTCTGTTATTTCATTCCTCAGATGAGAACCTTGTTGAAGTCCATGAACAAATATACCCATTGGATGATTATGTGATGTTTAGGACAGAATAAAACTAGAACTCTGAATGTGCTAATAAATGCACCACATATATCAAGTCACTATCATCCAACCCGTATAAGTTCATATAGTTATTTTGAGAACAATTAGTAATCATATACCAAAAATCGGATTTTTTGAATCTCTTTTGATTTATAGGAATGTCTTAAAAAGCAAATTAAGTATGAACTACATGAAGCCTACAACTTAAAATGACTGGAGGGTTTTATTTTTTTTACTTAAAAGGTACATTAAGGATTTGAAATTGAACCTTTCCTAAGCTTGTTTCCTTTGCTTTAAATGAATACTTAAAGGGACTGAAATTTTAAGCTTTTTGTTAGACATGGTGGTAACAGATATTTGTTAAGAACCTACCCATCATTGAGTTTTGCTTCATTGTTTTTGCATCCTTGAGGCTACAGTATAAATCATCTCTTAAGTTGACTACTATTGGAAAGATGTTGTGCATAAAGTATTGTTTTTTTTAAATAAAAGTATGCAAAAATAAATATTGGATGAACTACATATTGCCATAAAGTGCCCAACAAAACAGTTGTAAAATAAAATTGGTCATAATCAAGAAAATTTTGCATGGTGGTTACTCATAATTGTCCCCTTATCCCCGCTCAGTGTTCTGGGTAAGTGACCTGTCATCTCCAGCTCTGAGCTTTGTAATTGCTTCATACTCAAATCTAAGTCTTCCTGACACATCTACTTGAGAAACAGCCATTCTTTCAGGTATGGTCAATTAATTTTATTGGGTTATAAAAAATCATAGGAGTGTAGGTAAGAATGCCGCTCAAGCATTTGTGTTTATTGACCTTAAGAGTGAAGACAGAGATGAAATAAAGTGTGTGAGCAGTATCCCAAAATTGAACGTCACATCCAAGAGCAGTGATGGTTCCACCTAAAGCAAAACTCTAATTCTTACTGAAATTTGCAGTTCCCCTCTTGATGTAGAATTTATAGGAAAATGTGCTGAAGTTTTCTTTCATAGAACTTGCAAAGGTTTGGCAAGAAAAGAGATAGTGTCCTTATTAACAATAGGTTTAACTTATTTTTACTTCAGAACTGTGCCTACCACCTTCATAGGAAAAACAACATCCTGTTTAGTGCATTTGTATATACTCTTGAGAATTTTCTGGCCTAGAAGTAACAGACTGAATTCCAGGTGCAAACATTTGAATTTACATGGAAAATAGTAATAAAATAGCATACAAATAAAATAGTGAATAGTGGAAGTCTCCAGGTGAATTAAACCCTTCAGGTTCTGCTATTGATTTGGACTGTTCCTTAATGTCCCTGAGCTTTATTTCTCTCAGTTTGAAATAGAAGTGTCTTTTCTTAGAATGAATCAATAATATTTGAGAAACTTGCATTCTTAAAATCGTATCCCATAATTTGAGGAAAAGATAGTATTTCTAAGTTTCCAATTTAGATATATATCTATAAAAATCCTATGTTTTATTTAATCCAGTGAGCTCAAACCTAGATTTTTATTAAATCAGCTAAGAATGGATGGGTAGAGGGAGGGAAGCAGGTGTCTAGAACTTTGGACTATGCTGCAAGAGTTTGTGAAGTAGATGACTAATTATTCCTTTGTAGACATACAGAAACTGGAAAAAAAAAAAACAAAAACAAAATCAGTACTCCCCTCAAGCCTGCAAACTGGGATAGGAACCTGACAATCTGTCTTCTGCCTCTGTGCCGATAGGCAGCAATGTGGAACAGTAACTGAACAGCAGGTCTCAAATGCATTCCCTAC